AGACGAGGGTGCAGGGCAGAGCTGCTGAGAACACGGAAGTTAAACAGTCAAAGGGCAGATAGATGCTTTCAAGGAGAGAAGGTGTGTGTGGGGGGTGGTTTGAATAAGTGTCCCCATGGGCTCATGGATTTGAATACTTGGTCCCCAGTTAGTGGTCCTGCTTGGGAAGGTTATGGAACCTTTAGAAGGTACAGTCTTGCTGGAGCAAGTGGGTCACCAGAGGCAGGCTTTGAGGGTTTATAGCTTTGCCCCATTTGCAATTCACTCTCTCTACTTTGTGTGTGTGTAGTTAAAATGTGCTCGGCTAGCTTCCTGGTCATGCTGCCATGCTGTCCTCACTGTTATGGACCCTCCCTCTGGAAGCATAAGCCAAAACAGGCTTTCTTCATTAAGCTGATTTTGGTCATGGTGTTTTATCACAGCAACAGAAAAGTAGCTAACACAGAGGTTGAATAAGGACCACATATACAATGACATGCATGAACAAATGCATCATGATTAAACCCACATGAAAATTAATTTTGAAAAAAAAAAGAAGAGGAGGAAGAAGAAGAAAACGGCAAATAAAATCTAAGAAGTAGAAAGTATGAGACCCCAGACTGCAGGGACTCGGAGTGCTGAAAAGAAACCTATGTGGGGAGTGTAGAAAAAAATTGAAGTAAATCTCAAGATAAAGCTAAAAGAAATCGAAAGGCTCCCAGCTAGGAGGTAAAGCCAAGCATTGCAAAAGCCCAGCTGGCTCGCAACAATGTTTCAGGGAACCTACAATAGTAACTTTAATTCTTCAGGGAAAAATTATGCCCGGGCTGTTACATCAAAGCTAATCTATTATTTACTGCTAAGATAAGATGAGATTTATTCAGGCATAAAACTGTTGATGGATTTGAGGATGCTGAATTCGGGAGCTTATGTTCCCTAAGAGAGTCTACAGGAGTGAGAAATGAGATATGTGGGGGGGGAGACATTCACAGCACTGGTACCCCAAAACAATGGAATTCATATCCAAAACATCTGACGGCGAAGCTGGTTCAAATCTGTGGAGAGACAGCCCAGAACAAAGAGGACAAAGGCAGGAATAAAACCTTAGAAAAGGGTAGCAGGGCTGGGGAGATGGCTAGGGGGTTAAGGAGCTTGCCATACAAGAGGGAGGGCTGGAATTTGGATCCCCAGAACCCCTGTGTTATGATTTGAATGAGAATGTCCCACATAGTATCTAGCATCTAAACCCTTGGTTCCCTTTTGGTGGAACTGTTTTGGTGATGTTTAGGAGGTGTGGTCTTGCTGGAGGAAGTATGTCACTGGGAGTGGGATTTGAAAGTAAAAATCTCGTGCCACTTCCAGTTCATTCCCTGTTTCATGATTGGGGTTCAGGATGAGAGCTCTCAGCATCCTCTTCCAACCACCATGCCTACCGCTTGGTGCTCTGCTTTCCCCACATTGACGACTCTTACCCTTCGGGACCCGTGACCTCAAACTCCTCCTTCCACAGGTGTCCTTGGCCATGAGGTTTTTCTAACATCAACAGAAAATTAACTAATTGTCCATGTAAATGCTCACAGGGTGTAGTGGCTCACAACACTCTTCAGGCAGAGATAGGGATTGAATGAGCAAGCCCACTAGCCAGCCTCGTCATATCAGTGAGCTCTGGGTTTGATTGAAAGACTTGCTTTAATGAATGTGGCAGAGAGCTACACAAGAAGACATCAGACTTTGGCTTTACATACATGCAACATGTGTACATGCAGTTGGGTTCTATTTTCCCTTCATCCCAGATCCCGACTCATCACCTGATAGACCTACTCTTTCTGATGGACTTGGAGCTATCAAGGATTTGTGGAACTTTGAAAACTGAACTATCACTTAACTGTCAGGGTTCCATGACCCTCTTAAATTTTCGTGTGTGTGTGTGTGTGTGTGTGTGTGTGTGTGTGTGTGTGTGTGTGTG